CATACTACATAGAGGATAGGTTAACTGTGTCTGCAATCACCATGAATAGACTTAGCAACAACTATGTATCCATTACTTTAATGGAACGTAGGTGAATGCATCTCCAATAAGAGAATAATAGGTAGTGAGCACACAAGTTTGCACTTTACACAAGTAAGTAATTGGACCAGGTCATCAGGTTTGCCAATGAGGTTAGAACAAAAGTTTGGTATCAGAAAATAACTTAACACAATTGGAGAGGAAAGGTTTTGTAAGAAACATACTCTGTAAGTAATTTCTTCTAGTCAAGACAGATGCAAAGCAAAGGTGTGAAAACATCTGTTTATCTTGGTTTTTAGGCCTATTATCAAACATCTTGGTTTTAAGGCCTATTATCAAACAACACGTGAGTGTCACAAAAACAGGGAAGTAGGTAAAATCTGGGAGTTTTTCAACTAAGTTTGACAACACAAAGTTTATTTCCGGTGAAAAATGCATCCTCTGGTTTTTAGGAAGATCCAACTTACAAATAACACCGAGCATACGTTCATAGGAAATGCATAATGACCACCGGCAATGGCGCGGAACGCAGAACACAACAGATGGTTTAATACACCTATCACAGATCCTTGCACCTATAGCAGAGAAACAGTTTCAAGTAAAGAAAAGCGGGAACAATTGTTAAGGATGTACTTCTGTCGAGGATGTCAGCTGCAGTCTCCCAAAGCATAGGAACAACATAAATATGGGTTCACTAAGTGTATTATGTTAACAATCTGGTGTCACATACATGTTCCTTAGTATATAGCTAATAACAAAGAGGAGTTGTCAGTCAATTAAACCAAAGTTAATACTGCAGCATGTTGTCTGTAAAGTCAAGTGATATTGCAGTTTTTTTTTCTGGGATAAAAGATGGTGTAATCTTCTCCATGGTCTTTAGTTTTCATCTGTCAGCCTATGTATATGATGTTTTGGATGGCCTGCACTTCAATTGATCAGAAAACAAATTGGTTGTTACCATGTACTGCTCCAATAAACCTGGATCACCTCCTAACATACGAAAATCTTTTGATGTAAGTGCTTTAGAAATAGTTGAAGTGTGTTTCTTCTAAGCTGATCAGCAAACTGGACCATCACAAAAGAGCTAACATGGCAGAGATAAAAACTAATGAACTGAAGACAACCTCAATTAGGACCTATGAACCTCTCAGATGTCATGGAGGAAAACTATCATATACAGATCATTACCAACGTTCGTCTTGAATGTAAGTAGGACATCCGTACCAACCTCAAGTCCTGTTTCAGGAGATATCTTGCATCCATGCTTGAACAAGATGCAGACGTCATGTGATTGTTCGTCATACTCAGAAGCGCTGCTTGCCAAACTATAGTCCCACCAGTCCGTGCTTGGGGTATTCAAACGACAAGCTACTTCCTTTGGTATTTCCTGGGTGACCATAGATTACACACAAAAAAGAGTGTGTTATGATCCCAATTATGAAAATGGCAGAAGAACAAAAGGAGAACTGAGAAAAATAAATGCATCCTATAGGGCGAAATAGATCAAAAAAAGTGTGTGCAACAGAATGCATGTAACTCTACCTAAGGTGACCAGATCACACATATTTAAATATGTGAAATTTAAGTAGGCATGACAATGAGTGAGATACATGAAATACATACCCACTTGCCATTACATTAGTTTGGTTGTTACCTAATGATCGTATTATTGATTTTTATATTTGGAAAGGATAATTTATCAAAATGGCCAGAATTGTAACACCGCTTAACATGTTGGTTATTAATTTCGCAATGTCCTGAGCCGAGTAGTGGGTGGGCACGGATTAACAGAAAACCAAAAGATTTACTTAGCGCAATCTAGGAAAGGTCACAAGTCATGGTAAACTCATACTTGAAAAATCTAATCATGTTCTCACATAGAAATCACGACATGCATGGGTTTCAAATCTAACCTGGGTGAACTTTCTTGTGTCATGCACTGAAAATAGCCTATTCCTTTGCTGAATATAGCCAGGAGGGCTATTTGCGCAACTGTATATCCGACGGCTGCTTGTTGAATCAACCAAAAGAAGAGGACTATATAGAGCAGATACCAAGGCTGTTAGGCCTAGATACCAGCAGTCAGCTTGGTCCTTGTCTTTGCAGATCTGGGAAGACATGATTGCAAATACATGTTACAAAAGGAGATTATACGAGGAACAAAGATATTCTAAACTCTAGAATTCCAGGCCTAGTAGGAAATACCAAGTCCAGTGAGCATTAACCATTCATGTATATGACTGACATACATAGGCTTTATTGCGCATGGTTTAGCCTTTGCTACAGCCTGCTATAACCAAAACACCTAAATCTGAACATATATGCCACTAAAGTACCCATGTTTCTCTACAAACAAGGTCAAGTGTATTCCTAAATTGTGGTGCTGAATTTTAGGCACTTCACCGGATAAACAGTGGTCATAATACATGTTTATGGCTGACACTTCACAAGCAGCAAGCTTCAATTTAGCTCTCACCTGTACACTATTTAGGAATGCATACAAGCAAGTCCTGTACAGAGCAACACCACACCGACAAATGCGTACTGTATTTCAGAGGTTAACATTTGAGATTTTCAATGTGGGACCAATTAGATATATGCTGCAGCTAGAATTCTAATTGGAGTAATTCCCACCAGAATGTGGTTTGTATACTAAATTATAAGATGGATTATTTGTGTTTATATCCGCCATAATCAAGGCTCTGAACCTGGTACTATTTGCATGATAATGGGGTGCTCTCACACATCTGCAATAGATATACTATTCTTTTCATAAGCTCTTATTTTTCTACCCATATTACTTAGTCGTGCCCCTGTTTACTGCTTGTTTACTGCTGACACAACAAACTTTAGTTTATGCGGGTGTATACACGATGTATAAAACATGAACCTGGCAAGTATATGATGCTACAGTATACATATCTTTCTAACTGAAAAGTAAGCCTATCACTTCCTGCTCTTAGATCTTAGTTCATTTCTAAACTCTGCATTTTATTCGTACAAGCATACCACATCTACATTCTGCTATAACACAGATTATTGTCACCGTACTATGCTATTAATTATTACCAGTTCATAATGGAAACATAGTACCTAATGCATCCCGTATATAATGACATTGTGAACTGAAGTGGATTGCTATGCTTACACACATACTATGAAGAATGGAACCTGATATGGAAAATGCAAAGGATGCCCAAAAGAACTCTTGCTCCATTCCCGATTTCTATTTTGGTTGAAGACTTGGGAGTCCCACTTTGCTGCAAATCAGAGAATACAAAGGCCTCATTGACCACTTTGGATGAAATTGTATCGCTAGTGGCTACACCTAAGACAGCCAAAACTAAATTGTTGTATGGAATCGATTAAAAACATAAATTACAAAAGGCCAAAGCTCCAAGGCTCCAAGTAGTATAACAAACATATGGAACATTAGATTAACATGAACTCACCTCTCTTAGTCGAGAGCTTCTTCTCAAGAAGCTCTTTCTAGAGAGATGAATGCATCACAAATAAATAAACTGGAGGCGTGCGTGAAGAAGAGGGCTGCGGCTGCTGCTCCCCTCATCCAGATCGAGGCTGAGATCCTCGGCTCGAGCTCCACCTGCCGAGTCTAGATTAATTAGGAGGAACTGCACATAAGGAGCAACTCTCCAAGTAGGAGAGATATTCTTGCATTGTTGGTCCAACTCCTCTGCATAGAGGTATCATTCAACTTGTACTCAATTTTTTAGAACTCAACCTGAAAATGCGCTGCTACTCGTTCTCACTTTGGCATTATGTGAAACAACAACTTTGTAATCAACTGTAGAGATGCTTGTTACTAAAACAAAAAATATGTGAAAAGAAAGAATAAATTGACCGTCATGCCACAAAGGAGGCATCATTAGCATCTCCCTATGCAACTGGGACACTAAACACATGTTGGCAACCATGAAAATGGCAGACAGAACTTGAACACATCCTCTTGAGTTATAGAGGAATAAGAGGAGAATCATGACCTGACTACAGGTTGTTCCTGTGTATTAACTGACTTGGGTGGCAAAGGAACCATCAAACCACAAATAAATAAATGTAAAGCTTCTTGCTTATGAGCCTGCACAATTGTTTCGTGTCTCAACCACTAAAAGTGGTTTAGAACATGATGTTAACATGCTGCATCTCTATTTCAATGTGCACGATTTTTTTTCTTCAGCTTCTGTATGAGGCATAGGAACAAAGCATGCATCTCTATTTCAATGTGCAGAAATTTCAGCTACATTCAGACTCAGAATCTACATTAATTCTTGCCACACGCAATAAAACCACGAACAGCACACTCAGAAGAATCGACCACAACGATACACTCATAATTCTAATCTCTAAATCAGAACGACCGGAAACTTTATTTGCACAAAGCAACGCCAGAAGTATCTTTTGACCTCACCAACGAATTTGTAAATACAGAGGACATATATGAAGCATGACAAGCAAACTGAACGCAGGACCACACATGCATTTTATCAAGCAGGTTAAAAGCATGGGAAAAACAGAGTCTCACCTTCTAGCAAACACAGTGATTAGACGCACAGCAGAAGACAAAACAACAAATCAGCACCGTCGACCCAACAAACAAACAAAACAACAAGAGGAAAATATGAACTGAGAGCAGATGTAAAATTGTACTTAGAATCACGCTACTGAATTTAATATGTTTGAGCCAAGAAAAAAGGCATAATTGCAGTCCACCTCTTTTTTAAACGGGATAAAGGAAATTCACGACGACGACGATGTCCGCTCCTTTAGTCATGTATATACTATTATATCAAGGTTACAAAGCATATCTATTTTACAGGTCTGGACAGCTTCAAACTGAAACCAAAAGTGAATTTTAGGAAAGAGTTATATTGTGACCGAACATGTGATGAAGAGAAATCTAATGTGACGGTTCACTTGAACCCCATCTGAATTTCACTCTTCTACTACCAAAGGGGATCAGAAAAGTTACCATGTAGATCCTCTTTCAGAATCCCATTCATCATGGACTCATAGACCAGGATGTTTCTCCCATCTTCATGGCAGCAACCTAGCAAGGATACCTGAACAAATTAATAATTAGTTGGTGTTGAGAATAATTTAACATACCATACTCATTTTCTCGGCAAATTAAACCAACCTTCCTTGTTTGGAAACTGCTTCTTCCCCTGGGAATCATTCGTTGGCACTTTCATCTCAATGAGACATTGAAGTGTCAATCTGAATTTAAAAGGGGATTCAAGACCAAAAACATGTTTCTCATCTACCTGCAAGCAATTCATCAAGATCAATATATAGTCTTATCATTCTAGAATAAATATTGTACTTCTAGTAGTAGAAATCATGCATAAATGTAGACAAGGCCCTGCTGGGTTGCAAAAAGACTAACCAAAGAAGGGGCAGACAGGAAAATTAAGCATCTCTCTTATTTTCCTCATCGCTATGAGCCCTAGGAAACAGAGACGCAACAGCCATTAGAGATGGCCATAAAGCACAAGGAGCACTAACCCGTGAAATTTCTCTACTGGTGCCAGCCTTCTCTCCACGAATTAAGAGCTATCATCGAGTTCTCCTCTGCAGGCAGCCGCTTGGGTGGAGGCAAGGAGAAGGGTGACGAGGATGTGCTGCTCTGTCTAGGGCTCCGCTGCCACATCTCATCCGGCCGGCGTCACCTCTCCCGCTCTTCCTCGTCTCCGCTGCTGATGCCTGGCCTCCACCAACCATCGTCTCCCCTCTCCTCTGGGCTTGCTCCCTCCTCGATCTAGAATCCTTTTTATTTGTTGCCCGGCGATTCGCTCCGCTCCTGCCGCTGAACTCCGGCGGAGGGCTGGGGGCTCTGCCACTGAACTCTGACATGGGGTTCGATGCTTTCGGGGGGACGGGAAGGACTGCGGGAGCGGCGGCGAAATGGGGATATGGGGGAGAGGCGGCGGCTGTGCGGGGGCGAGTTGGGAGTGGAGAGCGGGGAAGGCAGGACACGGGGCTACTCGAGCACGGGAATTGGTCGATAGGGTTTCCAACCGACCAACCCCACGTCGCCCACGATCGAAGCAGTCAACCTTTTTCACCGAAGACACAGACAACGCACACACGAGGCCCACGCTGCAATGCTGGGTCTGCGAGGAAATGAGGTCCACCCGTCATCAGCTACAGCGCGAAACAACAATGTGAACAGAAACCAACGGCTGGATGTTTGACACCACGGTGAAAAAACGCCAGCGAGGTAAATCCTTCGACTCAGATCAATCGCGCGACGCAAATAGCACGGGATGGCGGGTAGCACAGCCAGGTTTATAGGTTCAATTAATGCATCTATATACTTGGTAAAGGGTGGAAGACTTGGCCTTTTGCCTAGTGTTTTGTTTCACTCTTGCCGCTCTAGTTTCCGTCGTACCGGTGTTATGTTCCTGCATTTTGCGTTCCTTACGCGGTCGGGTGATTTATAGGACCCCCTTGACAGTTCGCTTTAAATAAAACTCCTCCAGCAAGGTCCAACCTTAGTTTTACCATTTGCCTCACCATCACCTATCCCTTTCTCTTGGGTCGGCCAACCCAAGGGTCATCTTTATTTTAGCCCTCCCCCGAGCCAGTGCTTGTCTAAGTGTTGGTCCGAACTGAGCAACCTGCGGGGCCACCTCGGGGCAACTCGAGGGCTGGTTTTACTCGTAGCTTGACTCATCCGGTGTTGCCCTGAGAACGAGATATGTGCAGCTTCTATCAGGATGTCGGCGCATCGGGCGGCTTTGCTGGTCTTGTTTTACCATTGTCGAAATGTCTTGTAAACCGGGATTCCGAATCTGATCGGGTCTTCCTGGGAGAAGGTATATCCTTCGTTGACCGCGAGAGCTTGTCATGGGCTAAGTTGGGACACCCCTGCAGGGTATAATCTTTCGAAAGTCGTGCCTGCGGTTATAGGCAGATGGGAATTTGTTAATGTCCGGTTGTAGATAACTTGACACCAGATCCGAATTAAAACGCATCAACCGCGTGTGTAGCCGTGATGGTCTCTTCTCGGTGGAGTCCGGGAAGTGAACACGGTCTTTGGGTTATGTTTGACGTAAGTAGGAGTTCAGGATCACTTCTTGATCATTGCTAGCTTCACGACCGTTCTGCTTGCTCTCTTCTCGCTCTTATTTGCGTATGTTAGCCACCATATTTGCTTAGTCGCTGCTGCAGCCTCACCATTTTACCCCTTCCTTTCCCTTTAAGCTTTGCTAGTCTTGATACCCATGGTAATGGGATTGCTGAGTCCTCGTGGCTCACAGTTTACTACAACAACAGTTGCAGGTACAGGTTGTGCGATGATCATGACGCGAGAGCGATGCTTGCTTGCGTTGAGTTCTTCTTCTGCTTCTTCTTCGATCAGGGGATAGGTTCCAGGTCGGCAGCCTGGGTTAGCAGGGTGGATGTCGTTTGAGTTTCTGTTTGTGTTTCATCCGTAGTCGGATGATGCTCTTATGTATTGTGATGTTGTATTTGTGGGGCATTGTATGCCTTATGTATGTATCCCCATCTATTATGTAATGTTGATGTAATGATATCCACCTTGCAAAAGCGTTTCAATATGCGGGTCTATCCTTGGTGGGACCTTCGAGTTCCTTTTGGATAGAGTCACATATTGGGCGTGACATCGTCGAGACGGCTCAGCGTGCGAAACCCGCCCGAGCTCAACCCGGCATGAAGCGTGTCTTTGTGGGCTGCGTCCATGGAGAAGAGCTTTCTGAAGGACCTAAAGATGGTGGTGAGACGGCCATCCACTCTGACAGTGATTCATCTGCCGGTTCAACAGATTCTCTGTATCAAGTTCAAGACGATGTGCTCGGGGGCTGTTCCGATGGCTTCAGTATTCCGGACCCCTGTGAGTCACCGAATTGGGCAGGAGTCTTCATGGCTGGGACTCAACCCGGCCAAAACTCTACAGCCGCGGCTGCAATTACGTCCGGGTTAGGAGCGGCCGGGGCAGGAGGCCCTGTGCGCCCGCCGGCTCAAGTGCTGATAGACCTCATGGACAAGCTTACGGCCCTGTTAACCGCCACGATTATCCCTGCGAACAAAGATGAGCATGACGCGGAGGTGGCACGAGTACGTGAGGAGATAGCTCAGGCCGAGGAGGCCTTGACACCTGAGGATACTAGACTGGCTACGGAGCGGGCAGCTCTCGATGCCCGGGCACAGCGGTTGCATTCAAAGGCTTACCAGCTCACGATGAGCTTAAATGCGTCCAATGAGGTAATGAGGAGGAGACACCAGAAGAACCAATCCCGGTTACCTTTGAATTACGACCCTAGGGTTCTTTTTGCTACACCCGGAGCCGGCCTAAGTAACCCGCCCGATACTAATCAGTTTATGACATCCGGAGCAGGAGGACCGGCTCAGCATCGAGAGATGCCACCTCCTCATATGAGCATGGCACCACCGCGTTATGTGCTGATACCAGAGGGTCACTTTTCCAACCCCATGAAGAATTTAATCGCAGCGTCAGCGCGTCTGGCGGACCTTCCAGTGGACGGTGATGATCCAACAGCGATGGAGACCCGGAGGATCAGGGAACTTGTCCAGACGGCCCTGGCTCAGCAAGAGACCTATTCTTATAGTCGGGATAGGATTTATTCAGCTCCTCCGCCTTGGTTAGCGCCACCTCATCAGAACCAGAGCCCGAGTTACAGCAGGCATATGGAATCTGAAGTTTTGTCAAGCAACGCTCAAGGCCGTGACCAACATGGTGGCTATAACCCAGTGCAAGACCGAGTACGTCAGGAGAATGAGCGAGCAGCTCAACTGGCGGCTCAACAGACGGCATGTCAGGATATTCCACAGTATCGAATGACTTCTACTGAGATGGGAGTAGCCACCAGAACCGGTGGTGTTCCTTGTTTGATACCGGCTTTGCGCAACGTGCGTCTGCCCAAGAACTTCAAGGGACCTCGAAAAGTGCCGAATTACACGGCCGACTTACAGCATGAAGCATGGATCGAGAGTTATGAGATGGCCATGGAACTGTTGGAGGTTAGTGACGCGGCAATGGCTAAATATTTTACCATGATGTTAGATGGAACGGCCCGGTCTTGGTTTAAAAGCTTACCACCTGATTCCATTGGTTCGTGGGAAGAGTTAAAAGCCCGTTTCATCCGGAACTTCAAGGACACCTGTAAGCAATCTATGACGATTGTGGACTTGACGAATTGTAAGCAGGGGGAAGGTGAATCTACCACCCATTGGGTACACCGGGTCAAGAAGATAATTCATTCATCTGATAAGATGGATGCCGGTTCTACAGTCCTTATATTGAAAAAGATTTGCAGCTTCAAGCCACTGAGGCAGAAACTGGGGCACCTTAAGCGTGGCTGCAAGGATATGGGTACGCTGATGGCGGCTCTAGTCAAATATGCCGATTCTGATAGTATCAAAGATCCCGAGTCTAGCGATGAAAAAACAGGGAAACGAAAATGAAACGACAGTCGAAAGGGCCAACAACACAACCCGGTGAATCAAAGCGGCAATAAGCATAAGGCGGACGGCGGCCCGGAATTTGTGGCCAACGTTAATACACAGGGTGACAATCAGAGACGTGAGGGTAAGTGGCCTCGATCCGGTGGGTTATACACTTTTCTTCATGGTTTATGGAGCAGAGGCAGTCCTGCCAAGTGATATCCAGGATCAGTCTAAAATGCACAGGCTATCCCCTCCTTAGGAAGGACCCTTTGTGGTCAGCAATAATTTGAACAACGGGTCATATTACCTCATCGATACCCAAGAGCACAATGACTCACGTAAGTCGGAGGAGGAGACCCACCGACCGTGGGATATAACCCACCTTCGGCCTTACCATACTTAAGTCACCGGCTCTCAAGATATATATGTTTAGACGATATATATATATTATGTAAAGTAATAAAGCAGGACCTCTGTCCTTTTTTCACCCTCAAAAGTTTATATGCCTTTTTTGATAGATGGTGGAAATAACCCACAAGGAGCAGATTATATATCATCAGGCTTTACCTTTAGTCCGGCTTATGATCATATCTAAATCTAGCCATGATCACTTGGGGGCTTCCTGTTCAAACATAGGTCGTATCCGAACCAAAGAGAACATAGCTGTCGATACCCACTTGATCGGCATACTTCCAAACCTACTTCGGGGCTTCTTGATCATATTTGAATCACAGCTTAACCCCTTTAGGTCTGACATGGATCGTATACGAATCAACGTCATTAAACAAATCTTATGGTCACTTGGGGGCTTCCTGTTCAAACATAGGTCGTATTCGAACCAAAGAGAACATAGCTGTCGATACCCACTTGATCGGCATCACCAAGCCACTGGGGGCTATATGATCGTATCCGAATCTTAGCTTAACCCCTTTGGAATGGTTTACTGATCGTATCCGAATCAGAAGCCTGTAAAGTATTTTGATTATCCTGAAACCTTGTGGAAAGCATTATGAGATGTTTTTGTCTTGCCGGTTTAATATTCATCACCCCAGGTCGTTAAGTGCCGGGTGAACATCATATGAGCCGGAAAGATTATCCAAGGATCGCAGGTATGCTATTATGCTTAAGTTTAACAAAATATGGTCATAAACCAGCCTGTATATCAGTTTGTTGGTTTGTGTCCGGGTCATCAATACTTTTTGTGCAGAATAAAAGCGAGCAAAATTTAAAACGCCAAGGAAATAAAGCCAGGAATATATAGCAGTGGTGGCTTATGAAAGTATTGAGCGCTAGGACAATGCGCGAAGGCATATCACACATTGGGAAGTTTTTTCTACCCTATTACAAGACTCCCCGAGTCTGAATACATGAAGCATTGTTTTTTACAAAACGCCTGGCGATTCACTCCTTCGGCGGGCTGGAAG